AAAGTTGAATGCTTAGGGCCACAGAGTTACCTAGTCACACAAAATGGCATGCACCGCACTTGGGGAAGATTTGTCACTGCTCTCTTGCATTAGCGGCTGCAGAGCAAGGTCTGCAAGGCAGTGTTCCCCCCCAGGGCAGGCAAGCACAAGCACATGGGGACTCCTGACTGCACTGGCCATCAGATGTGCAGTCCTGTCATTTCATACGTGTGTAAGAGTCACCAGGCCTTCACCAGTCAGAGGAAACAGGTGCTTTCATGTCTCCACCCATGCAGCAAGAAGGATTATTATAAAAGCCTCAGGACACATCCACACAGTGCAACAGAGCAGTGCAGAGAGGCTCGGAAGGGAGCAGCCAACACCACAGCTGGAGCCGTGTAACCACACACGGCTGCTCTTGGGGCTTCACGAATGAATTAGCTCACACCACTCCCTCACCCAAACTCTCTTCTGCTAGGCTTGCAAAATTTAAGACAAGACCCTCCTTCCCAAGCACCTAGAGCACAGAGTTCACTTTGCTGCTCATGAAACAGCCTCTCTGGGAGTGAAAAGTGCTAGTGGTTGACTAGCACTTAGTCAATAGTGCCAATAGTGCCACCAGTTCTGGCCATGCCACACTGCACCATGTAGCAAGACAGCGCCTGATCGCAGAATGCAATCCAAAACCTTGCCAACAGAGCTGGATCCAATATCACAACGTTCTGAAAAACACGCCACGCCTGGGACCCTCACAGAGAGGAGACCATCCTGTCTGCTCGCTAATGAAGAAATGGAGGCAGCATTGAAGGGACTGCTCCAGATCATACTGTATAGGATTCAAAAACACAACCCCCCCCGATCCTGGCACTCTTTAGGGCTGCAGGTCACAATCTGCTCTCCTTAACTGGACACCACGAGGGAATGTCATTCTCCTGGCAGCCAGTCCATACGTTGATGTGCTACCCCATGAAAGCCACATCACAAGCTCTATGCAGTCCTCTCTGCAGGACAGCTGTACTGCACTAAGCCAGGCAAGCAATTTCAGGACAAGCACCCAACCCAATCAGCCCAAAAAACTCTAAAATCTGAATCAGGCTGGAGATCAGCTAAAGCATGGTTGCCCACTGCTGTACCTCCGGCCCCAGCTGGGCTGCTGCTGATCCAGGGAGGGCTCTCCCCTCCCAGATGTAGCGTCAAGCACCCACTGTCCCCACAGACAGGCCCCTGGAAAGCCGAGTCCACATTTACCTTGCCACCTCCGGGCTGGTGCTTCAGGTTTTCAGTTGAGCCAATTTTGGACTTCACATTTTTCAGATCAGGCATGGGTGCAGCTGACGGCTGGATGCGGCTCTTGGCAGACGCAGGAGATTTCGGTGGTGTGCGAACCACTGCCACCTTCTTGGGCTCCCTGGCTGGTGGGGTGGGCAGAGAGGGAGTGCGGGAACGGCTGCCTGGAGTCCCGGGGGAGCCGGGACTGCTGTAACCGCTTCTGTCTCCAGACTTTGGCTGCTCACCTGAAGTTTGCAGACAGAGGGAGGCAAGCACAGGATAAGCAATCTGGGTATGCAGCCCCTTCCCCACACACTCTGCCTGCCTTTATGGAGTTGATCTGCCTGGTCCCAGGGCCCACCCGCTACTCCTACTGCAGACCATCAGCAGTGGAGAGATGGATGCACTTTCTTCTACTTCAATTTGAAGTGAAAACTGTGATTAAAGGCAATTTCCTAGTATCCCAGAAGGAAGATGGTCTTCATTGTCTGCATCATTGGTAAGGCTCCCCACCCGAGCGTGACATTAGCATGCATGACAAATTACAGACAAAAGACACTCAAACAAAACCACTTTTCTATTAGAAATTTGGAAGCATTTTTACAAAATTATTTTATGTAATTAAATAAGGCTGATCACGGAGCAGCTTAGAACTGTCCCCAGTCTGAAAAGAAATGGAAGAAGAAAAGAAAACCTTAAACATCACCTTTCTCAGACTTTGCTGCTGCAGGAGGTGGTTTTTTCTGCTCCTTTCTGCCTGTTTAATGAATGAGAAAGATGCTTAAACATAATAAAGCTGGAAATTTAATTGATTTAAGGTTTTATGCAGCTCTGGTCAAGTATGAAAAATACATGTATTCAGTGAAATGCACTGTTTTAATGGAAATTTACAATGCCTGATACTTTCTGGGGTTTTCTTCTCTGAGAATAACGGGCTAATCTCCATTCCTGCAATTGAAGAATTGATCCTCTTGCCCCTGGTCTTTGTTTAATATTGTCAAGAGAAAAGGAATAAATGGATTAAAAAAGGGAGCTGCCTCAATCTTCCAAACTGGAGGAAATCCCAAAGGGATAAAGCAACTGCCCTCTCCTACACACTGGCAACTATATGAACAGAGCAGATAAAGCAGCATCCAGAAAGGCTCACTTCAGAGGAATCGTCCCCAGCTCTGCCCCCACAGCCCCATGACAAGGCTGAGCAGCTCCAAATCACCACGCAGACCTCAACCTGCTGGCCAGGCCCTTGCTTAACACTGTGCATGACTCCAGCCTGCACTGGAGCAAATTTGTTCCCTACCCCCACATAATTGCACAGAGAACCTGGGAGCACCACCAAAGCAGAGCCTCTAGAGTTAGAGACGCCATGGGCAAGTGGCTGCACACTGCTCTCGTCATCACCTACCAGAGCTTGGAGGTGTCTTGGGGGCCGTGGGCGTCTTTGCTGGGATGCGCGTGGCATTGGTCGAGTTCCTCTGAGCCTGCCCGGCTGCAGACCGCGGTGTGGCCGTCTTCGTGCCACCTCTCATCTCTGGGCCCTGGGGATACATGGGAGAAAGGCTGATGCAGGGGGGATCTGCCCAGGGATGGGCTATCACCCCCCATGGATCAGAGCCACATAAGACCCTCCTGCTTCCTAACCTGACAGCCCGCAGGAGCTCCCACGGGTTTCCCCACATGCAGGCATCTGCAACATGCCTTTTCACACCCCGTTTCCCATCACAGCGCCTGCTACAACTGCTACACAGTCACTCCTGGGCTGGCAGAGCAGCTGCGCCGCTTTCCCATGTGAGCCCTTAGTGTCAGCTACGTTACTCACTGCACACTCAGGCCTGGTTAGAAAGTATGTTCAATTCCTTTGTCTGTTCTCTGAATTTCATCATTTTGTTTCCCCTGTTCTGCTACAATTTTGTACAGAAGATAAATAAATACACTGACTAGATCAGAGGCTCCATTCAGGAGTACGGTGCCAGACTCCAAACATAGAGAAGCACCTCCTTTATCCCCACCTGTAATACACTACTGTAACATGTACATAATCTGTAATAGCATGTAAATAGCAATATGCTATTTATTGACTTCTGATCCTGCAGAAAAGTCTCCCCAAATCCATAAACTAACACATCCTCTTTCTGATGACTTTCTAATGCTGGTCTGCGTACAAAAGCTCACGAAAAACATGCAAGAGAAAATTTACAAGCTGACTGGTCCCAAGGCAGCAGGGAAGCAGAGCAGAGCCATCGCAATCCCTATCATGGTAAAATCATACGCCATTGTCTGTGCCCTGCAATCTCTGCTCTTGCCCTCACCATGGGTGTATTTGTATGACTAAACACCACAAAGGGTAACTCCGAGCTCCTTTTAACATTGCAGAATAAGCCACGGATGTGTATGCATTTCCTATTCTCTGTGCAGCACCTGGCAGATCTGGCTCCGGCACATTTCAAATACATCTGCTGTTTACAGCCAACGCACCCATAAAACACAGCATAAAGCTGCAAAACAAAGAGCACGGAAGAGCATGAAGGCACCTGGACATGCCTCAGGGAGACCAGGTAACACCCTGCAGCAATGAGATATTTTTGCTGTAACGCAGAGCAAGGGGCCTACGTGCTGGTGAGATGGACCCAGTTGCTTCAAACACCAAAACTGGAGCCAAGTCTGGCTATGGCCACTGGAAGGTGAAGCGAAAGCACATCCCACCCTCTCCAGTGAATGGGACACAGAGAGACTGCCCAGCCAAGCACTGAGACCTGTCAGGAATGCTTTAAGGTATTCTCCAAGGCAGCTTTGCCTCTCTCACATCCCATTTCCTTACCTTGGCTTTCATTTCTTGCGTTCCTGTACTGGCAGGTCGGGATGTGACAGAAGAGACTCTTTTAGAGGCGGAAGCAGGGCTGGAGGGTGTTTTCGAAGGGGTTGTGCTAGAGGAGGTGTGTCGTTGGGGGGGGGCGGAGGGTCTATCGCCTGGGGGTTTGGCAGTGGAAGGTGAGGATTTCTTAAACATGGAAACAAAATAAAATTGGAACAAAAAAAATCAACATGGGAGGGAAACAAAAGGGGATCACCGACATTAAACAGGATTAGAAGGTGCAATACAGAACTGGGTGTGGGATAGGTGATGGTTGGTACTGCCCTCTCCCTGCAGCACGGAGCTGGGTAAGAGCTGCGGGGGCCAGGGCACTGTCAGGGTCCCACAGCTGCACCGGCAAGCATGGGATACCCCAGCTCTATTCCTCCCACAGGGTGCAGCAACACCTAAGCCCCTTTCTGGGGAAAGCGTCACCCCGTGACAGCCTGCCCTTGCCACCGCCCTCCACACCAGTGGCACACTTTACCATCTGAACTGCTCTATTCAATCCCAAACCCTCTATGTGCTCCACTGGCAAAAATGCTGCAGGTACAGCACTATCAACGTCAGCATTTCTGCGAGATGCAGATGACCGCTCCCAGGTCTCTCAACCCCATCTATACCTGCTTTACCAATGATGGATCGATGGTCTTTATCTAGACAACTGCTTGGTATTCATGTCAAATGCCTAGCCTGATACAACCCTGCCAAACGTCACTAGAGAAAGACCCAATTTCACATTGTTTGAAAATAATTATATTCCTCACCTTCAATTCTTCACCCACTAAATTGCCCACCATCTTGTCCATTATCTCACCCAGGCACTAGCCAGGCTAACGGCCAGCTGAACTAAACCTCCTCCAAATTAGCAGTGTGACAGATACCTCTAAACTTCTGGAATTTACCCACAATTAAACTCTGTTCCTCAGCCAGAACACAGCATCTGCAAGGCCTAGATTATTTAATTTAATTTTTTAATTACATGTCTTGCTCTTTTCAGTGTTATGGTGCCTGTCCCCAACACAGCCCAACACAGTTGTGAGTTTGCTTTCACACCAGTTTGCCCCAGCAAAGCCAGCCGTCTGCTTTCCGGTCTTGGGCTGAGAAAATTATTTCTCTAACCACCCACCCAACCTCATGAGCCACATGTTTGTTTTAGATTTGGTTCATTTCCTCGCCCTCAAAGATCACCATGGATTGCACCATCCAAACTGGGGTGAGGGAAGAAAAAATAAAAACACTCTTGAAAGACAGATGGAAGAATGCAAGATAATGGCAAGGTTTCCCAAGAGGCACAACTGCAGTCCAGGAGAGCAGGAAAGGGAGTCAGGAATATGCACAGCACTTAGTGGGTTGACATCACCTCTGGTTTTATTTTTTAGCTTACCTTCGGTTTCTTTTCCTCGGCTTCAGTCCCTTCCTTGTCTTTGCTGTCAATATGACCTGACAAATGGAAACACACACAGTTACACTTCTTGGGACTGGTCATTACACTTTAGACAGATGATAATGCCTGCACTACAGCAACATGCAGGCTGGGTGGGTGTTCCATGTTCCTGCTCTCCTTTAAATTGAATACTATTCTTCAAAATATTACAAAGTCACTCATGTCTTGCAGAAATACTTCCACATTGTAAACACATTCTTTCTGGGTTAACAGATTATCCTGCGCATAGGCCACAGGGCATTACTCATCACTGGAGCATCAGACACACGCAACAAGGTCTGGATGAGACCATTTTGCCCAGATTTGTACTCAGTTCCAGTAGCATCTGTTCAGTTTAGGACAGAACTGCTCTCTTCAACCGTAAACACGAGTCTCCCTCTCTAAAACAGCCATTGGTTCTAATGACCATATATAGAAAGACTAAAATTGAAGGATGCCCCAATCCTAGCAGAACCAGGTTGCCTGTGACCTCATTGAAAGTTGTTGTTCAGTGTGTTAGCTGAGTCAGACCCTGCAGGGTCTTAAGGTTTTAGCTGTTGCCCTGCTTGATTTGTATCAAGCTTATAGTGTCTGACAATATTTCAGTGTTTTGTCCCGTTAGTCTACAAGCACAACAGACTGCAGTATTGCCAATCAGGAGATTAGAAACAGGGAGGAAGTAATGTTTGTACTGTAAGGCACTGATAACAAAGACCCTTTTCCCAGTCCTCAGCTAATTCCTCCCTAATGTGGGAGAAAAAGCTGCTGCTATGCTCCCCAGTGTTTTGGAAACTCACGCTGGTGGGTCAGCCCAGCCCCGGTGACACGAACAATGTCGTTAATCCGCCACTGACAACCCTGACCCACCCAGCAGCCACTCCCAGAGCTCCTGGATGCACCATCCTTCCCAAATCTAGTTCAACTACAGACTGGAACAAGGCTGGAGCTGAACTGCCACAAAGTATCTCTGTCTTTGAAGGAAAAGACCATTAAATAATTAAAGAAATTCCTCCAATGGAATCAGAAACAGGTTGACTCAGGGCAATGCATCCCCAACCCACCATCATTTTCAGGCTCTGATGCTAGCACTAGCGAGACATGCCAACACCCTGCAGCACATGAGCAAAGCCTCCCTCTGGCTTATTAGTAGTGAACAACGAGAAACGTGTTATGAGCTTTAGGTCCAATGGAAAAAGCTACATCAACAATTTCTTCACGAACCCCATGCAGCAAAGAGCGACACACTCTGCCGCAAACCAGAGCAGCATTCCCAGGCTAATGGAAGCAGCCAAGCCAGCTTCTGGGATGCGGCACTGGGATGAAAGGCAGAGCTTCCCCCATGCCAGGCCCTGGACAGCCAGAGCTGAGGTACACCACAGTGAGACACCACAGGGCTTTAACGCATGTCCTGCTGCCCCAGCTTATTAACACAATTCAGTGCAAAACCTGCATTTGGCCACTGAGCAGGGTCCCTAGTGACATCCCTCTGACCCCCAGTAAAGGTGGAAAATAGCTCTTGGAGAAAGAAAAGGTCTAGGAGCTGCTCTGCTGGCAGGGATGCTCATGCATTGAGCAGTGAACTCAGACCTTCACACAAGACAGCTAAGACCGACACTGCTGCACGAACACAGCAGCTCCAGGGTCTGACTGCCCTCCCAGCCTCGCGACACATACGCTGTTAGATGCATCCAAGAGCCAGGCCTCCACACACACAGGCAGCTCCCACAGAACATCCCAAATACAGCCATCGCATTGGACCACCCAGGGACACACCATCCAGAACCGGGACTGGAGTAGGATGCTTTGTAAGAGCATCGGACGTGTCCTGTAGTAGGCAAAAGTCCAGCTAGCTGCAGACCTTGCCTCCAACAGCAGTCAGTAGTGGATATTTAAGGGAAAAGTACAAGAAACAGGACCAATGTGGGGTCTTTTCCATGGTTAGACCTGCCATCTCACTGGCCTTTTTCCTCCTCCCTCCTCTTTAGGAAAGCCAACAGAAAGAGTTATTGGACTGGACAGTGGACACATGCAAACCAGATGGCACGTGTCTTGCTGGAACAAGCTGCAGTGTGCGCCGGACTAGCCCCACTCCAACGTGCCACAACAACGTCCATCCAGTTTCCGTCTTCTCTGGGAAGGTGCCAGGTGTGAGTTAAGGTGCCCACCCCACAGATCCAAGGAAATCAAAACAAAAACAGGTCAACAAAGCATGACTGGGGACACGCCAGCACCATGCAAGGGACGCAAAACTGAAGCATAAGGGTTTGGCAAGTATGCCAGGACATCCAGGATTAAACTGAAGGGGGAAGGAGGGGAAGGGAGAAGCAGCGGTACTTTGTAGATCAGTTCACAGCAAAGGTCCAGGCCATTTCCCAAGCAGCAGGATTCAAGAGGTGGCAGCAAGCTGAAGTACTGGTTCAGGCAGCCTTGTCATGAGCAAGCCACCGGCAATGCGAGCTCAGGGCAGGCAAACGTTGCACACACCTTTTAGGAGAGGGACGCGACTGACGGCTTTATCTGCAACATGGGCACAAGGTTTCTTCTTGGACGTCCGGCGTTCTCCTGTATCTGGCACAGCCTCTTCCAAAGGAGCATCTTTGCCTTCCATGTCATCTTTTAACTCAACGGGGAGTTTGGCTGTTTCTAGCAAGGTTCCAGAATCTTCTCCCTCCCCAGGCTCCACTTCTTTTTGGGAGATGATTTCAGAAGGCTCTAATGGGGTGATGTCTGTGCCTTCTTCCCCTCTCAATGGCTGTCTCCTCTCCTCTTGGTCCTCTCCTGCTTTATGTGATTCAGTTTCAACAAGAAGTGCCTCTCTTGGTATGTCTCTGAGGACATCTTTGGACTTGTTTTCTTCAAAGGCATATTCTTCAGGAGCTTCCTTGGCTGTTGCTGGACAGAAGTCCATTTTGGGTCCTGGTGAAACACGCTGTCCCACCAGGGAAAGCAAATCCTGTTCAGAAGTTTCATCAATATCACGGTCCTCATCTCTTTCCTGTCCACGGGCATATTCTTTTAATGGAGGTCTGGTATATAAAGGAGATGGCCCACCTTTAATATGGGAGTCACCTGTGTCACCTGTTCCTGCCAACCCCTCGGTGTGCGCATCATGACCTAGCTCTGTTCCCAGTGCTGAATCCACACCAACACCTTCTCTGCCTCGATGATCCCACAACTCACTGTTGTCTTCTGATGCTCTGGAGTCTTGGTACATATCGAGGGGTATTGGGATGGTGACCTCAATTCTAGTGGGAGCTGCTGTTGTAGCCTTCGTTTCATGTGACAGAAGAGGCTGCTGAAGAACCTCAGCTACCTGCTTTGTGGGCTGGCTTTCTCTTTTTATCGCATCTCCCACACACTTCTGAGGGCCAGGCTGTAGCTTTGGAGAGCTTGGCTCCCCTGGAGTTGAAGACGCAGGGTATGAAGCATGGGCAAACAATTAGCACAGGCATATCAAATAGGTAGTCAGTCATGTATGCTAAAGAGAGACTAAGGATTTCTACTATCAGTCTAGAGGATGAAAGCAAGTCCCACACTGCCCCACTGAACAGACAACTCACTTCTACAGTGGCTTTTGCCTGTAAAGAAACTCTGATCCCCATGGGAATCAGGAACAATGACAGCCACAGCACATGGAGACCAGACTCCTCCTTGGACCCAGTCTCAGAGGTGGCTGGGGTATCCAACCACCACCATCTGCCATGCTGGCGCTTAAGAGCTGGTTTAGCTACAGAGGTTTTCAGAAGCCAAGAACACACCCATTTTCTAATCTACTACCACCACCACTGGACCATCAGTTTGCTGGTCAGTGACCACCTCTTCTTGCCTCAAGGGCCTGAACAACAGGCCAGACTCCCCTCCTTCACGGGTTTACAAAATCCCTACAGTCCTCTCCTCCCTTGCAGGAGATGTTCATGCAGACATGGCACCAGTTACATCCTCTCACAGCTCAAACCATCTCTGCTTTGTTCTCCAGATTATTTCTATTGCTAATGAGCTTGGGGAAGAGCACCGCTATGTCTCCTCTCTTATTGCTGTGTATTTCAACAGCCAGTGGAGCAGATAGCCTCAGTGGAAAGGACGGTAAGTAAAAATGTGGTCGTAGCCACACGGTCACAGCAATTTTGGACTGTGCACCCACTCAGGCTAATCAGAGCTCCAGTGCTGCTGCCACCATTTGGGCAGAGTAGAAAGTGTGACATTTATAAACCCAAACTTAAGGTCACAGAGACACAGATCTCTTTTTTTGGGTGAAAGAGAGAATTCTGTTCTATCGCTGACCTCATGCATGACACAGACCTTTACAATTTCACCCAACAATTGCTGCATTAAGCCATATATTCTAGTTGAGCTGGAGCTTTTCTGTTAGAAATTCATTCAACTGAAGCAAAGATGCACTGAGCAATGGAGAATTCATCCTGAACATAGGTAAATTGCTTTAAAGTCAACTGCCCTAGTAAGACTGTGCTTCTTATATTATGAATTTGTCCAGCTTCAAATACTCTCTGGTCTTTTTGAACACTGATCAAGTAAACTAAAGAGCCTAGATCAGAGCACTTCAGTACTGAGATTTTGATTGTTGCTTTGTTAGATTAACAAACAAGAAAAGAAGTCAAGACTGACTCGTTCTCCCCCATTTTAAGAGAATATAATGTTAAGTGAAACTACCACACAAAGACCTCCGAAATTGTGGTTTAAGAGAAATCTTAAATTGGCAGGTATTGGCAGGTAATACTTGAAATGTGGCATCAAGAAACACCTTTTATAACCACCAGGATTTGAAGGGTGTTTATGCAGTAGCCAGCAGACCGTCCTGGCTCACTTCTTCTGCAAACAAACAGCACGACCATTAATGACCACCAGTGCAGAGATGTGGACAGTCAGTTCATTAGCTGTACTTCTACACTCCAGGACCCATTGGGGGTTCTAAGGCAAATGTGCAGCACATGGTCACGAGCCGGCCAAATGCCAGCACAGCACAAACTGTGAATCAGAAGACACTTCTCCACCTGAGACTCCAAAAGCACTTTAACACACTCCATCTTCACTGCAAAGATAATTTTTTTCAAATCCCACAACACAAAAAATGAAGGTAGCTAGTAACAAGATATCGAAGACTCTGTGTATCGATAATCACATTTTCCTCCGAATCGAAGAGAACCATTAAAAGGAAGCAGCATGTTATTACAAGTCCACTTGCAGAGAAGTAATAATTTACCTAAGAACCTAGAAATGTCACATATAGGTTATATCAGAGCTCCAGCTAGCTGTATGTCCCCATGTCTGACAGCTGAAAGATCCTAGGACAGTACAGAAAGGTCTTATTAAAAACCTGGTGAGAAACAGCAACTAGAAGCAGACCGAATGGGGCAGACAGAAGTGAGAACTTCACCCCCCTCCTGCTAACAATCTTGATTTCTTTTTTGTAGTGGCGCCACTATTTTGAATACAGAAGAGCTGCTAGTCCAAGAACCACTGGACAGGCAAGCAAAGGTTATATTTTAATTGCAGGGAGCAGATTGCACATAACTGTGCTCATCTGCGTGTGGAAAGCAAAGATGACCTGAATTCTGCTCTGAGTTGAGAAGGCGAAGACTTATTTACTTCTTTAAAAGACATGGATTCTGTAAATGCACTAATACAGCCATGAGGAAGAAGGACGCTGCCCAAGCAACTGGAGGAATTTATTATGTCTACTGTGCAGAAAACTACCTTACAAAATGGGGTTTAACTAAGATTTTAAACAGCACACTAAATTAGCACTATGGTGTATCAGTGCTAGCAAGACAGCAATATTAAAGTGAGTTTGAACCCATAAGCCTGCCCCATTGGGCACAGAATTAAGCTAGCGCTGGGTGCTTTGGGAAAATCCCGCCCTGAAGTTTTCCATCAAGTCTGAATTGAGCACAGTCAAAAAAGGCTTTCCAGATAGCCAAAAGGTCCCTGGATAATTTCTTGGCTCATCTGAGCAGACGCACAATTAATGCTCTAAAAACACTCTTTTGTGCCTGCTTTTGTCAGTCACACTCCCTAAGACTGGGATGAGAAAAAAACACCCGTAACATTAAAGTCAGGGCATCATTGCGTAGGTTTGAGATGTTTTATGTTAGAAAGAGACACAGTAAGTAAACAATTCACTTATTTCACATGTGACATGTAGGCAGGGCCCAAAATTGACTCTCTTCAATGCTGAGCAGTTCCTCCTGGCTAACTGCACCATCCTGGCTCTGTTTATTACCTTTTCTAGCCTGGAGGATACCGTTTTACAACTGGACAAACAAGCACCAGGGCTTCAGCCATCTGAGAGAGAAATTTGGTGCATGAAAAGCTGCAGTTCTCCGAAATGAGCATGTTGGAACATTCAAAGCATGTATGACCCTCCCCTGACAGGAACAGGGAGAACTGCACAACTGCTTGTACAGTGCAGAGTGTTTCCATTACAGAAGAAAATTCCCAAGCCACTAGCAACCAGCCGCACATGTGGGCAGCAATAACTGCACCCCAGTGACAGACGATTCACTAACCTTGAGCAGCATCTCCTGCAGCATGGTCCTCCAGGTTGGGAGTGGCTCCTACGCCTGCCTCTTCAGCTGGTCCCAGTTCAGAGAAAGAAGGGAAAAAACATGATCAAAACAAGAATTAAGTTTAAGCATGTGTCTGGAGAATTTATTTACCTCCTTGCTGATTTTGCCCATCAGCACTGTACTATGAGCAGGGTGGTATCAGAAAGGCAATCAACCCACACTGACGATGGATCTAGGTAGATCTATTCAGCCTGTGCTGTACCAGAACCAGACTGGAGGAGTGTTTCACCAAGTCGCACATCCCGGCTGGCAGGTTAGTACAAGCTCTTTCAGGCAGAGGTGCAGAAAAAAGGCTGTTAAGGAGCAGGGAAATCTGTGGATTTATATCCCCTCTTCTACCTCCACCTAGTGTTTATGTTGCTGGCAGCACTCACATGAATGTCTAACTCTTACCTGAGCCCCATCTGCTTGGTGTCTCTTACCTAGCTTACTGTAATGAGCTCTGCCGAGGGTATTTGACACCAGTAAATCTGAGTCTGATATAAATCTGACACTTCAGGAATACTGGTACATTAGAGAAGCACAATTTTCTTCACAGCAATGATGGTTTGTCTCTATCAGAATTTTTTCAATTTATTATGTTACTACTTTCAAACCAGCTTAATCAATTATATTCGTATGTCACAGTTCTACAGTCAAACTAGGACTTGCTCTGTTTTCCCCATTTTTTTCCAGAGAGTTCAGGACACACTGCTTCTTCCTGGCTCCCTGGTACAGTCAGATCTTGAACTAGAGGCTGCACATCCTTGCTAGCAGGCGAGCCACTCTGTGTTTCAGCCCAGGGCTCCACCAGCGGCCTGGGGACTGGATGCAGGATAGACAATTTGGCTGCCCGAGGGAGTGTGCTGTGGGCTTGTTTCAGTGTTCGGGCATGGGCAGAAGCCCATTTTCACCTACTACCTTTCTCAGGTCCTGCCCAATGCTTCCAGGAAAAGCCAGTGGCTACTGCACAGGGGACACATACCCATTTTTCACATACAGACCTGACTCTCCCAGGAGGCTCCTGCCCTCCTGTACACACACAGCACTACTGCAGCTCACTCCCTTCTTACTCTGCCTCTGAAAGACCCCCATCCCTCCCTGGAAAACCAGGCCCAGGTGCAGTGATTCCCCACAGATCATTCGGGCTGAATTAGCCGCTTCACTTCCTCTGCATTATCCTTAAAATGCGCCCGCAGCCACAGAACTGCTGCAGTGGCCTGGTTTTCACCTGCTGCTTCAAAGACAACTGCATGGGCTGGGCTGAGCAACAGCACCAGTGAGACAAGCAGCAAGGTCCTGCGCTGACCGCCTCACCTCACCAGCAAAGCAGGGCTGCTGGCAGAGGGGCAGAGATGACCGGGATCTGCAGGTAAGCGCTTAGCCTGGAGATGGGAGGCAAAGCCACCACAGAGACACCAGACAGAAAGATTGTCAGATGTGGAGCTGAGAAAGAGAGAAGAAAAGGCTGCGAGTTTCCCCCAGGGTGGGGAAGGCAAGAGGACAATTGTAAACTAGGAATTATTTCTGCAGGCCATGGAGAAGAAAGAAGCACGCATCAGAAACAAAGCATGCCTGCGAGAGGTTTTGCAGTGATATTTTTAAGCACTAACCGGTCCAGCTCTCTCCTCTGTCTGCATCAAGAGATGAAACTGCACCTTGGTCTCCCTCACCTGTGGTTCCTTCTGGGATCTCCCCGTGCTGTTCGACACCACCCTGATCCTCGTGGTCTCCTTCCTCCACTAAAGGTGCTGTGGCATCTGAAAAACAACGCAGCTTTCACATAGCCATTGAGTGGCAAAACCCTGTGGAGGCCAGGACATGCCTGAAGAACTTTTTGCTCAGAAAAGCACCCGATTCCCTCCCTTGAGACAGTGCTTGTGGAGGGAGACAACCGAGCATGACATAGCAAAGCCAGTATCACAGGGACACCATGAGCTGTCCCTTCTGCCACACAAACCACACATCTCCAGCATACTCCTTATGCAGCTGAAGAAGGCTTTACCATAAACACTGTCTAAAAATGCACAGCTAAAGACAGCCACCGGTGCCTGATCTGCATGCACGGCAATGCTATCTGCATGGGCATATCACTGGTCTGGCTCAGGAAAGAACAGCTCCCATCGGATACCTTCATAAATCATTCGAGCACTGCAACTGCTTCGCACTCTGGTCAGGTCTGAGACAGACAGATACCTGGCTCCATCTACCAGAGGGATGTCTGCTTGTCATGACAGTCCCGATCCAACTGGAAAGAGGGATGATATCCCCTCTGCACCAGCCAGGTTTTACATACTGATTTCCTGAGCCACATACACAGGAACAGAGCCGCTTTGCAGACAATCAGTTGGCCTACAACTCCAGCAGGACAGGGCCGGAACTGGTCAGCATCTCTGTCCACCTTTCTTCTAGATTAATTTTACAAACTAATGCCTTTACCTGAAGTCTCCAAGAAGCAGATACTTGGGATTAAAGCAGCCAGAGGAACACAAAAAAGTGCAGTTAATTAAAACAGTGAACAAGTCTCTAGACCACTTCAGAATTTCATTCTTTCTACAAACATGGCGTTCAGATAACACTCTGAAGCAGCACAGACATGCCCCGAGTCCTACCAATATGACCTTTACATCAGCACAAAGTTTTGGTTTATGTATAGGCTCTGCTCCTCTCATTGTTCCAGCATGAATCATGCTGTACTAATGAACATGTAAATACAGAGGGAGCAAAAAAGAGCTATGAGGTACAGCTAACTCTGAAAGGGAACACAGTGACCAGGATGTGCTGTCAGTATCTTAGGGGAGCACAAAGATGCAAACCTCTGGCCCTGGGAACACACAACATGGGATTGCTCCCAGCTGCATTGAGCTAACAGGACCTTGCAGTCACTGTGTAAAAAGTCTTCAGGAAACAAACTGCAAGCAGCTTCCTGAACTATAATAAACATTTCACCTTCTCTTGCCTTCCAAGCCACTCTCCACCTTCAAAGCTCATTATCTCATTCTGCAGAGTGGCAAACACCACTTGTGATGAAGCTAATGAATAGCATTTGTCCAAGAGTGGAGACACTCCTCCTGAGAAACCCCACCAGAACACGGCACGGCAAGTCTTTTGGCAAGGTTCACCACGACCCCATCCATCACGGTTTCAAAGCAGTAAGTCAAAGAGCTCCCACCTTCCGTAGTTGGGGTGCTCTTAGTGTCAGATGTTTCAGAAACAGGCTCATCCGATCCATCATCGACTGGTATCTGAAGGGGATAGCCTGGAAAACATTCAAATACTTAGAACAAGTCCTTGGCTATGAATTATGGCCTGTGCGTTACAAACTCCGATTGCTCAGATCCACAGCAGCAAGAAACTGTAATTGGAGAGTATAAACCATCCGAACTAATAAGCAAGCAAAGCGTGAAAATGCCAACCAAAAGCACCAGTGTCATCACCAAAAGGAACAAGCAGAAACCCATCAGCAAAAGAAAAGCCCAGTGAACCGGACAGCTAGAAACAGCAAAGCATGGCACAAGCAGGAAAGGAGATTTTAGCAATGTAAGCAGAAAAGATGTACAACTTCTGAGTCACTGTTGTCCTCTCTGCCACTTCTGGAGCCATTAGCCTCCCTCCCAGAGCAGGCTGCTGAACACTTCCATGACGCGTTAATTCTAATAATTGCAAACCAGCACATCTTTGTAAAGGGCTTGGTGTAGCACATAACATACTGTGCAAAGACTTGGTTGCAAAAGTCATCTTTTGGAAGAGCAGGGCAAGAGGCACAAGTCTCCTCTGCAAGATGTCTGGGCAAATAAAATAATGAGAACTGGAGAAAATTACTTGGAAAAGAAGATTCAAACTAGCATAAGCAAAATTCCTGGGAACCTGTGATGTGCGAAGCTGAGGCTACAAGCTGAGAGGAGCTATCAGACTGAAATGCATTACAGAACCCGGGATGAATGGATGCTATGGATTCTCTCCAGGACAGAGGCAATCCATTTATCTGGTGTAAGGTGTGTCCAAAGCACCTCCAGAAAAGAAAATTAAGATGATGTTTATATGGAGCATAGCCAGGAGTGAGTCCCATCAGGTTTGCTGGCGTTACGTGGGTTTCCAAGCTCAATTGTGGAGCATGGTGGAATGAGAAAGGAAAGGCTTTTTGAGAAATGCAGGTCTGACGTATGGGGCGAAAGACTCTTGCATGCCCCCCGCTCCCAGAGCTCTCTGTTCAGTTCTCCCCGTCTCCCTGTGCAGGTGAGAAAAGCAGGCAGCAAGCAGCATCCTTGTGCTGTGTCTCCAAATAAAAGCAGTGCTGTATTTTTATAGCGAACTAAGGAGAGAATACAGAAACACACATTTGCAAAGCTGCAGCAATAAGATCATCACTAGTCTGGACACCAGGGCTTGTTCTGCTCTCACTGGGCAATGATATCAAAGAGCAGCATTTTCCTGCGACTATGAACATCAGAGCATCTTGTGGCCTACCCACTGTCCCCTAGCTGCAGCCAGCTGATCCATGGTAACCTTCCAGACACACATACCATCTCCTTCTGGCCGTCCCCAAGGACCCCTCGTACCCCTTGCATGCTGGCCCTGCTCTCCCCACTTAGGTCATTCTCTCAGCAGTGGGCAAGGCAGGTCCTTTACACCCTCTCCTCCTGGAGGTGCTCACCTGATGGGACGTGCTTCTCCTGGCCAGCTGCATGATCTTCCATCATGGCAATGTCCTGACGCTGCTCCGCCATCTCTCAGCAAAGTTACCTGAAGAGGACAGTAAAAACAAACACCCATCAGGCAAAACCTGACACAACACACCTTCATCTGGAGCCCAGTTGGTGCGCTCCCATCTACTGCTCCACGAGACAATTTTGGTTTGTCAGCCAATTTCCAGAAGCATTAAACATCCTATTGCAAGTAATCAGCCAACAACAGCCAACCACCTTTTCAGCCACCGTAAGAAGGTATCTATCTACTTTGTTCCCTTTTCCTGATGAGCCCTGAAATCACACCATTGTGCTCAGGGAAGGTCACAGCTCAAGGTACATGTTACCTATTGGGCTTCACGCCAGTGCTGAAATATTCCCCGGAGCATCTAACACTAGTGCCTCCAAATCCACCAGGAGCATGTTTTGTCCACAGTCATCAAATGGAGGACAACAGCAGGAAGGGAATGCTAGCATGCCAAATTGGGATCTAAAAGGGCTGCCCCAGCCAGACACCACTCTTCGGCAGAGCTGCACCAAGCTCTCAGCACAGGAGGTCACAGCAATCCACACTCAGAGGACAGAAAAAACTCACATATGGGCATCAGCCAAAAGGAAAACATGGATTTTGCATAGAAGACATATAAAGGAGCAAATGTTCCTTGTGAACAAAGGGAAGGTCTAATTATTCCTGCACAAGCAAAAGCATGAGCCAGTCACTTCATCTGTCACAATAAGGATATAGGCAACTTCTGCCCAGCTGCAATATCAAAATTCCACAGGTATTTAAGATGTCCCAAGCAAAATTACCATCCTGGTGCACACAGGACACTGCTTGGCCACCATTTTGTCGCAAGGGATCACTGGGAGCAGCATGCTTAGTGCAGATGTACTTCTGCTGCACGCTCCAAACTCTGCATTTGCCAATTTCATCAGTCTCTCAACAGAAATGTCTGCTGGCAAGGTGTGACGCTGCCGCAGGAAGGGATGCCTTCTACCCCTGTGGATACACCCAGCAGGGATACACAGCTATGATACACTGATCATCTTAAAAGCAATCCAAAAGTGACATACAGGGGTAAACCAGGACTCTCCAGGCATAGATTTGGACCAGGCACTCTTAGAGAAGAGGGTCTCGCTTGTGGGTTTCAGAGGACAGCAAAACAGCTGCTTAACCCTGAATCCTTTTTGCAGTGCTTGGAAAGCCAACACCATGCTATAGAGCGAGGCACAGTAAATAGGTCTGGACACTGGAGTGGAAGTAGAAAGGTGCTAAAATTCAGAGTTATTTTTCTAACACGTATTTATCTGCAAAAGGAAATTAAGTCGACAAAAAACATTATTCACTTCTGTGAAGCAGGGACCATGTTCCTCCTTATTCTCCATGCTGGTTGGGCAGACATTGCTTTTAGCTGACTTCCTAATAGCTGATATAATTACAGCCATTGGCAGTGATTAATAATCAGCTATTCGTGTAATCACACATTTTCCATGACCATCAAGAGTGAATGAATCCAGCAATAAAGCTCAGGTTACCAGCAGCAAGGAAGCAAACTCATGTGGTTTTGTTCGCTGGCAATAAATTAACTGTATATCTGGACCTATGCAAGAGAAACTCCAATGCTAGTAACCAGATCTCTCACCCAGCTTTTTTAAGCCTTAGCAAGATGACTATGCAATTTATTTTCTGCCTTAGATGGCTACAAAGCCATTTGACAGAACTGTACCAAGTAAGTTTGAGAACTTGCCCTGAAAGGAAATCACCCATAAAAATGGAAGTATAAAATAGGAAAGAATTAAGTACTTAGTTTTTGCCCCAAAAATGGTGGCCCCTAATTATTTGGACATATGGCTGCCCTCCTCCCAGGGCTCAAAGGATCATATTGATTATATCCTGGTCTCGTCTGGCCGCTGCTTGGTATCATTTACAGATCTACTTAGCACTGAAATACTAAAACATAATGTTAACCTAGTGTACAGGCCACAAAAACAACTTGGGCTTGGACATGAGTGCAAAATGACACAGAAATGTGCTGCCCTCATGTGTGTGTGTGTGCACGTACAGAGGAGTGATCTCTCTGCCCCAAACACAGACATGGCACAGGGTACAGATTTCCCCACACACTGCCCTGTCTGTTGGTAGGAAAACATGGATGGGAGAAGCAGTTCCTACTCCACTCACAACTGGTGGTCCCTAACAGTCCTCCCAGCACAGCTCAGTTCACTAAACACCTACAGATATTAACATCTTTGCTTCCCAACTGCAGACCCAGAGGCAAACCACTCACAAATCTGCTGTGCCGGATTTAAATGAGGATTACTGTTTCTTTTCTGCCTCCTTTTCTCTCTTCCTCCCACCTGTTTTTTGGAGAAGAGCAATTAGTGTCTCCCCCAATCTCCCTGGAAAGATACGTTTAGTCCTTTCTTGCCTCTGGACAAGAATTTCCTGGGACACCATCCAGAGAGGACTCCTAGCTTGACAGCTAGTGAGCTCGCATACCCCGCCAGAGGCTCATCTGCTGGCTCCATGGAGAGCATCTGACACAGTCGAAGATCTTCCGCTTGTCCTCCGAATAGAGCATTTAGCATCTGTGTAACCCTGGCACAGCAGCAGTGAGCCATGATTCAGCAAAGGCTGGTGGATCTGCTGGCGGGTGCGCGGGGCTGCCTGGTCGCAGGGCTGACTGTCGCCCCGCTTCCTGTGCCTGTCGCCCCGCTTCCTGCTGCCCTGCCAGTGCCAGGGCTTTTCAGCACAAAGAAATGGCTGGGGGTTTTTCAGAGAAGCTGATGATCTTGCTATCTGTCTGAGCTTTGCAAGGAGGCCTTTAACGCTGTGCTGCTCGCAGCTGGGCAGAGACAGCCTCTGTTCCCACTGAGCTCCACGCATGGCAGGGTTCAGCCATCTCGGAGCTAAAGGACTGGAGATGGGCTCGGGAGGATGCAGCCATTAATTTTTCAGAGACAAGAGAGAAAGAGCTGCCTTTTCTGTTACAAGGAAAAAAGCATGACCAAAAGCCACAAAGATCCACCAAAAACACATTCAATGGGACCCTGAGAGCACCTGAAACCTGGCTGCAGCTTACGAAATGCCCTGGATGCTCATTCATTTGGGCACTGTGATTTTGGAGGCTGATGTGCGGTTTGCCATGAAGAGCAGAAGCATCTCCCGGCAGATGAAGCACAATGTCCTCCCGCTGTGTCTGCAGCACAGCGGGCAGAGGAGCAGAGTCCCTCTGTGCCTGAGCCACTGTGTGCAGCAGTCAGTGATGGAGAAGAACAAAAACTCCTCAAACTGGCACAAGCCAAGGGGCAGGGAGGGGGATCCAGCTCCCACACGGTTCCCACAGCACCTTGCTTTTAGCTGAAGAAATGCCCATTCAACAGATGCCTTCCTCGCAAGCGCTGCCCCTCCCGTGCAGCTCAGGAAACATTTCCTACAGCTTGCCCTCCAAGGCCCGGCAGGGCTGAGTTTTAAACCCGTTACAATAGGGCTGATGAAATTTCATCAGCACCAGATAAGCAAATAAATAACATTAAGCACACAAAGCAATTCAATGGGTAAGTACAAGTGAGCTGCCACCACCATTATCTCTAAGCTGCAAAGCTCTCCCAGCAGCATTTGAAAGACATGGGCCATATAATCATACAGTCTTATTCACCAGGAACGTCATCGATAAAGACATTTCATGCCTCTCCAATGGATGCTAAACTTCATTCTCCCCTTCTTTCTTTTTCATCCATTGTAGATGTCAGCTAAAAGCATTGCTCAGTCAAAACTATACCGATGATACTGACGATGGTTTTGGACAGATCTGTCTGGTTGAAACCAAGAAGCAAAACTGAATTGCCTATATGCAAAACCCTTCTTATTCTAGTTGGGGAAGTCTCAGCTTTGCTTCAGGTTGTCACTCATGTAATAAATTCATATGCATAAAGAGAATTTAAACCTTATTAAAACTGCATATTAGACTTTTTAAAAAAGATGGTCTGAAAATTACACATTTGAAAAACTACCCTGAATTTTGAAAAAAGTCTGTAACGATAATCCTATTTGTTTTTCAAGTGGGGGAAGGGGAAATCCCTCGTGGGGAAAAACATAACATTAAAGGGAAAAAATGCTCAAAAAACCTGTAAAACCAGCCCCACCTTGAAGCAATGGTTTGTTAATGAATAATTACAACAAGGATAGCTGCACAGAGATAAACTTCAGCAGCACCCTCTGCATGACAGATAAAGCACATCCCTCCTAAGAATCTTATCCATTTCCAACAGAACTATTCTTGTTAACCAGGGACACTATCTAAGAAGCAACAGCCTATCCCATAATTAACAGTTCCTCCAAACCTCACATTTTTCAAACCCGAAGCCCACCTTTTGAGAGAAGAGGCGTACTGAGCAGTCATTTTGAGCTGTACAACAAGGCACACAAGAAGGCAAGTTAGGGAGGCAAAGATTTTCTTGCCAGGAGCAGGAGAAACAGGCCGATTTCTGGCAGTGCAGACTCAGCCCACCAGCACCTCTGGCGTTTGCTCTGTATGTGCAACCTAGTTAGGGCCCTGAGCATAAATCCAGTTTGTCTGAGAGGTGAGTTTAACTGCTGAGAGCCCGGCCACCTCCTGCCGCCAAATGCAATTGCTTTGCCATTCGCATCAGTGTTAAGATGAGATGCAGGCATATTTCACTCCCAGGCTTGGAGATGCTTTCCCAATGATAAAGGGTTACAAACCAGCGGCCTCCAAACCTCCAGCTGGTTTGAGAGTTGAATAATGCCATCGCCACCCTGAGACTGGTGTAACCGGGAGAGGAGCAGATATTCCAATTTCCTGTGAGCGGGGTGGGCTGGAGGTGTGCGTGGATCCATCGGCAGAGCAGAAGGAGCGCAGGGTGGCTCATGGCATTCAGGCCACCAGGCAGCTCCGGACGCACTTCTCCACGACTCAGCCAGCTAAGCTCAGCATTGAGGTAACCAGCAGCAACTCCTGCATTTGAACAGCATTTCACAGCTGAACCGGGCCCTAGAACAGTCCCTGCAGGCCTGTGTT